GCCTGACCCAGTTGTCACGAGAGAGGTGTCATCCAACCAAATTTTTTTTAAAGTCTTTTTTCCAGCAGCGAGAAGCCTCTTTTTCTATAGATCATACTGTGGCCATGCCCGGTAGTAAAAGCATAGCTACGGGTCTGTGTATATGGCGGTGGATTTTCCTTTCCTGCAACTAAGAGCCTGGGTCTGATCAATCCGTTCTGCTCTCTGGGTTGAGGTACTTGGCTTGGGCCCAAGTCATATCAGTTCAAGTAGCTGCTGCAGCTCCCACACACCTGGTTTCATCTTTCATCTTGTGACAGGCATGGATGAGCACCTGCATCAGCAGGCAAGAGGATAGACTGATCGATGGCAGTGGGTTTCTCAAACTGTACTCAAGGATGGGCCAGACGTACTAGTACTGGATCACACAGTCATTAGACAGCTGGTGTGCTGGTGCTCCCCAGAGGAGGGCCTCACCCGTGTCATGGGTGCTGTGAATAGAAGATCTTGACCCAGCATTAGCTCATTTTTTTTCATGAAGTTTGCAGTAGCCATCCTGTGGCAACAGGGTCCAGTCGGTTGGGGAGGTGTGTCACAGAGTGTTTCCATGGCCGCAAAGTTTGGATTGAAACTCTTTTTGTCCTTTGTTTAATCTCAGCCCAGATTAGGATTTTAGTAACCCCTTAGGGCTCGTGTATAGAAGCCTGGCTATTGCCACCAATTGGTATCCAGAGGCAGCATACCCAGATGCAGCTAGGAACTCCTGAACCGGTCTCTTAGTCTTTGGAGTTGGAATCTGAGTAATGTAATAACCCTACTCTGAGACGGGCTCCTTTTGCCTCCCTTCACCTGTAGCCAAGACAGGTGGTAGCTTTCCCCAAAGTTGGACTTTCTTAGACAACATTCTGCAGCCCAAGGTTTGTAAAGATCACAGCAGTCACTCAGTGACCCTTTTATAATCTACTTTTCCAGGATGCCTCTGCCAGAAGGGCAGGAAGTCTGTATTTAGTGTCTTTAAATCCTGGGGCAACCTGGTCCCAGTATGTTGCCCTCTTTAATCTCCCACTGGGTCTGTCCATTTAAAAGCAAATGGGTTGACATACCCCTGCCAAGGAGATGCTGAAGAATGCATCTTTCAGGTCCAAGACAGTGTAAACTGTTTCTCTGGAAGAATCAGATTCGTAAGAATCAGAGTTCCCAGGCTTCTCCGCAAGCAGGAGAGATGTACTCCAGGGCACCAGGACACCTGTCTCTCCAAGCCAGAAAATATGCAATTTCCCTTTTTGTTTCCAGGGCCATAGCGTATTGTTTAATTTTGGTGGAGGTAGTAGCAGAACTGGTTGGTGTTACAGGTGCTTGGTGTTGGGCCAGTCTTAGGGGCTTGGTTTCTTCTGCCCATCCTGCCAGGAATCTTTGCCCACTGAGAGAGAGTCCAGCTGTGTCTTCTGATTGGAGGCAGGACTTTCAACAAAGACACATTTTTCAGACAGGGTAAGACACAAAAGTTTTGCTGGGTATCTGTAAGTCTAACTGCATCTCGGTATCAGAGACGGTGACAACGACTTTTAGTTTTTTGCAAAAGTTCTTATCCCAGTCAGCTCTGTTGTTGAACATCCTTTGAGCTACCTCCAGTAATCTACTTATATCTTTAACTTTTTAAAATTTTATAGCTTTTTATTTTTTAATGTCTGAGACCAAACTGAGTAACAAAGGAGATCTTTTTAACGGTTTCTTTAATCTTTCTAAAAAGTACCTAGTGAAAATTGTTTAAAGTCTCTTTGGTCAGTGTTGGACCAAAGGGAAAATCTACTCTGTCTAGGTGTGTTGCCTGGGAGCTATGCCCCTGCCCAGTCCAAAGGTGGTGTTTCTACTTTTTTCAAAGAAGGTGGTGTTTACATATCATTGGTTCAAAAGGAGACATAAATTATGAAAGAGAAAGGAGTAGAACTTCCTCTTTTCTTTTAGGCTCAGCAAGGGGAATTTTTTCCCCTTCCCCAGGTCTCCTCAGAGCAGGCATGGAGCCTAGGGAATGCTCGCTTGGGGGAGCCATTTCCTGCTCCCTGCATACATTCTTAGATGTCAGGGGGCTCTGGATGAGAGGCTCAGCCCCTCCCCACCTCCACACAGGGACCAACATGACCCTGAGCAAGAGTCAAGCAACAAAACAAGCAAGCATTCCTGCTCCCAGAGAGGCAGTTTTCTTGGTTTCTCTGGGTGACCTAATAGAGCCAAAAGGATTTGAGTCTCCAGCAGGGGGGCCACAAGTCTCACACTGGAGAAAGCCAGTGATCAATACAGGAAAACAGAAACACACAGAAAGACACACAGAGAGAAAGAGACACAGTAAAGACAACCAGGGGTGATAACCACACATTCATACACCTGAATAGACAGAGAGAATCCAGAGATATCTCACATGGGTCCCGGACACTGGATCAATGACTGACCTCTCTTATGTGTCCAAACAGAAGCTGCCTTAAACAGACTTACCTCCAGAGGTGACAGACCAGGTGACATTCTAATTTGTTTACTTTTGGAGGTGAAGATGTCAGACCCCTTTGAAGCCTTAGATGGCAGTTGATCAAAGGGCACCCTGGGAACCTGGAACATCTTGTGTTGTGCACCCCTTAGGAATCCCCTGACCCCTATGTTTTTCCTCAATCCCTCAATCCATGGGGCTCTGTAACACCCAGAGTCTGGAGATCTGCTCTCTGGGATCTTGGTGGGACCTCCAGAAATATGGGATATTCACCAGAGAAGACTGCTCAGACATGTGTTTAACAATAAAATGTCTTTATTAGCCAGTTGGCAAGTAGATTGGGTGTTCAGGATCCCAATGTAGCCCCAACGCTTTCTCAGGTTGAGCTTTTAACCACAAGAAAACTATGCCCTAGATTGACATATTTCAATTAACAAGAACAGCTAGCCAGAAGCCAAATAGCAAGGTTAGTACACTTAGAGACTTTTCCAGACTTTGATGGATTAGGACTTTGTTTTAGTTTTGGCAAGCAGTGCTTTCCACCTATTGAGTTTTACAACCTGAATGGTAGTACTTCCATCATGGAGTCAGTTGTGCTAAGGTCTCAGGGCTTACTAAGGTCTGCGGCCCTGTTACAGCCAACCAAGAATAAATACCGGGCATAAAGGACCAGCCTGACTCTGTTTTAGATCTGAATACAATATGTTATAAGGGCAAAATGCATTTGTTTCTGTTTACTGTGAACTTAAGTTTCTGTTTCTTGGAATTTGACCTTAGAGTACCTTGAACCTTCCTACTATTCAACTTGGACTGCACCCTGACTAGGTCTTGACCTAAACCCTTCTAAAACCACAAGATATGATGCCAAATTGTTTGGTGGAAAGTTCCAAGCCCCCTCCCCAGGAGTGACCGCAGTCCAGACTCCACCTCCAAAAAAGCCCATCAAACAGTGACCCTTCCCCAGGGAGGATCAAGACCACTCCCATAGACTCTTTACACTGCCCCCAGAGAACAAACACATGGTCTCCCTGGTTCTCCATCTCCCTCTCCAGGTTTTTCTGAGGCGGCGGCCGGGGGGTGGGGGTCCAAGAGTGCTGACGTCCATTAAACCTGGGATGCTTCTAGTTTGGTCGGATTTCGTTTAATTTGGATTACTGAGTCAGCAGAGAGGTTTGTCAGGCCAGAAAAACTTAACACAAATAAACTGATATTTGCTTCTTATGGTGAGCCCACAAGTTATTATACAGCAAAAGCACAGCTGACAAACCACTAGAAAATTCACAAGATAAGTAATATTGTGAAGAACCTGTTTAGCAGAGACACTTGTCTTTTGACTCCAGCAGGGTGCTCAGGTGAGAATTTTTCTCTCTGAAGCTAGTTTTAGCAACTCAGGCCTTTTTCCTGTATAAACAGTTAATTTCCTGGGCTATGATCTTAGGTTAGTTGAAACCAAGATGAAGGGTACATACAGAATATTAGTAATTTGTTACATTACAGCAAAGGGCCAGTAGGTCACACCTTTCTGAGTCTGCTGTTAGAGCAGACATATGGCCTCCTATACAGGGCTCCTTTCATATCAGTGATTACTGTCAATAAAGAATTGTGGGGGATGATTTTTATGTAGATTTTGGCTATGAGAACAAAGACTTGACTGAGTGAATCCTTTTCACATCATGGCTTCATGGTGTGGAGGGGAGGCATCTGGTTGTCATACAGGAAAAGTCAGTCTGATACACTGCTGGAGTACTATAGAAGAGAGAAATGCCATGAGTTCACAAGATTTTTACAGAATTGTCAGTGACTGATCAAAAAGGCAAGTGTCCCCACAGCTCTGCAAAATGCGTTCTTCACAAAATTATATATTTTGTAAATTTGTCTCATGGTTTGTCAGCTGTACTTTTGTTGTACAATACTTGTAGGCTCGCCACAGCTTCTGTATTTCCTTTACTAAATTCCTGTTACCAAAATTCCTTCTTAAAAGCCGTAGTTGGTTTGTTTGTTTGTTTTCCTTATAAAAGAGTCCTGAGGAGTTAACTGAAAGCTGTTCTCTTGAAGCCCATTTTAGGGAAAGGCAGACACCAGACTGACTGGCTTTGCTGTGCACAGAAAATAAAACTTGCTTAATTCGATCAAAAAATACCTAGGTCAATGATCTTTATTCTCATTTGGTGGGATTAGCAGGCACAGTCCACAAAGGTTTCTTGGTGTGCTGGGAGTCCGCATTCTTTGTTTGTTTTTGACAGAGTGTCATTATGTAGCCATGGCTGACCTGGAACATACTATACAGAGCAGATTATCTGCCTGCCTCTGCCTCTGGAGAACTGGGATCAAAGATATGCACTACCATGTCCTCCTGGGCCTGGATTTTTAGATCCATTTAACAATTTTTTTTTTTTGATGGGAAATGTTAACACAGGTGGTCAAGGTACTGGCTGTTATTTCAAATCAGTACAGAAAGTGGTATCACTAAATAAGACAGTATTGAAACAGAGAGCTAAATTTTAAGATAAAATTAAGGTATCCTTTTTCTTCATATAAATTATAAATATAAAATAGCAAGAAAAGACCTCGGGACTGGTGAGATGGCTCAGTGGACAAAGGTAACTGACACCAAGACCGGCAAGCTGAGCTGGATCTCTGGAACTCACATGCCTGAAGAAGAAACACAGTGGTTGTCCTCTGACCTCCATACATGCAGGGTAAGACACACACACACACACACACACACACACACACACACACACACGATAAAATGTAACAATAAAAACTTAACGTCTTTTTTAAAAATTAGAATTTCAGATAAATAAGAGCAGCTCTGTTAACACCTATGCCTATATTTTAATTGACAACAGATTGAGAAGGGAGCAATCATTTTTTTTTAAATGGCAGGTGGAAAAAATGATGGGTGGGCTTCTTTAGGAAAGGAAGGATTAGTGCAAAGGCACAGATACCGGAATGGGTGTGGCAATCTCGAGTCAAGGAAACCAAGCATTTCTGTACTGAAGGAGGGTGTGAGAAAGACAACAAGAGAATGAAATCTCAGAGATAGAAAAGAGCAAAGGCGCGTGAGGCCTTCTACACCGTGTCAGGCACACTGGGCTTTAGTCCTTGATGATGTATGGATAAGAATGCTCCAAGCAAGGCAGGCAGTGATCTGACTTATGATTTAAGAAGCCCCACCCAGGAAGGCTAAAGGGCCAGAAGTGAATTGAGAGACAGCAGTAGAGAGAAGAAAGATGTGGACTGCAACAGACAAGGCGAGAAAGTCAGGAAACATTACAGTCCAAGTCCTAAGTTTTGGCCTATGCCCATGATGGTGCTATTTACTTGAGAGAGTGGAGAGAACTTTTGAAGGAGAGAAGTGAAGTCCCTGGGTGGGTGTGTACTGACAGGGTCTCAGCCATGTCAAGGACCCCAGCGACTCAGCCACTGCCTTAAGTTCCTGCCTCTGCTTCTCCCAATGCTGATCTACAATTTGTTGCATAAAATAAACTGTTTCCTTCCGAGTTGCTTTGGCCGTGATGTTTTATCATAGCAACAGGAAGTAACTATAAGCATGTTAGTCAGTCAAGGAGTGCCTGTGAAAACTATATTGTCTCAATTACCTCCCTGCAAGGCTGAAGGCAAAGAGAAAGAAGTCGTTAACGTGAGCCTCCAGTCACTGTAGATTCCAAGAACAAAACCTTGCAAAAAAAGGAATACTCCCAAGATGAGGGCAACCATAATGCTCAGGCCTCACCCTGAAACAGAGGTAATTGGAGGACAAAAGAAATAAAAAAGGAAAGAAAAGGACATAACTGTCCCTAGGTGTGGTGGAGGAGAAAGCTTATTACAGATGTGTGGGAGAGCATAGCCAGAGGCGGGGACACCTGGGACGGTCTGGAGCGGACATAACCAAGCTCAGCTGGGCATTGCTGAGAGATGAGTGTCAGGTGGGGGATGGGTACCAGGTGCAGCAGCCAGAAGGCCAAAGTTACAAAACTACCAAGTAAAAATGTCTGGATTACATAGGGAAGAGCCTCTGGTGGAAGGGCAGCCCAGTCCCTGAGCTGGAGAGTTCACGGTCGATGATGGAATATGCCAGCCATATCCTGTAAAGCTGGGGACTGAGGGATACTGAGAGAACCTGGCAGCCAGGTCTGACGTGTTCCGTTAAATAGGCACCTCAGCTGTTTGTACTAGATTTGAAATTTAATGGTAATCACCTCCTGAGAACTACTTTGTCTCCTCAAATAATAAGGATTTCTTCAAACTACCTTATAGGACTACAGCTAAGGCAGTGATTAATCAAACACGACTTAGACCAGAACTATTTAATTATGTAAACAAACTCTTGTCTGTCTCTATTTAAATCTAAATCTAAATCTCATATACCCTGAAGATGGACTTTGGGTCATTGTGTTAGGTAACTAGTTAGACATTTAGCAGGTTGAAAAGGTTATTAATAGCTAGCTAGCTGAACCTTACAAGATTTCTATCTAGCTGAAGGCCTTGGGAAGGGGTGGGGTGTAACAACATATCATTGTCTCCCACAGCAAGAATCAATCCAAATGGGCCTGTCAATCTTGCAGACAAAAAAAAATACTACTTAGCAAAAGCTGTGTGTTGCAGAGGCTTTGGAAATCATAGAAACTCTGCCTAAACTATAGGATGACCGTCATTCACTCACACCTCCTGAGAATGGCGCATTGCTCTGATTCCCCATTCTTGCTCCCGAGCGTACACTCTCTCTATTCTCCAACACACTCTCTTCTGCACTGGGCTTTGTGCATCTCATCTGAATTCCCCAAAGAGAGATCACAAGGCATGAGAAGTTGAGAGGCGTTCAGAACAAGATCCCAGAAGGACCGGGCCTCTCTATTCTTCAACCCAGCGTGACCACTTCAAATGAATCTCCTCACTTGTTATTTTTAGCACCACTTCTACCTTTAATTGGTAGATTGGGACAAATAGAGCCTAGTCTGATGGGGCTGCCAAAGCTTGTAACTGTTGCCTTAAGCAGTCTAATTATCTAACCACAGTTATTGTTTATGCTGAATGACAACAGCAAGCCTCAATGGATAATCTGAAGCAACCCCACTCCAACCTGCGACACCTGGGAGGTGCAGGGAACCACATTCCAAGAGCAAGCATGTGCTTGGAAGGAGCTGAGGTCACAAGACTCTTGTCTTGTTCTCTTGGGGTGTTCTCATAAGCACTCAGAATGCTCCTCACACAGCTCCATTCCTAGACCGTATTCTGACAGGGATCAATCCAGTTCCTAGATCATCTTTATTCCATGGAGCAGCTTTGTCCTCACAGATAATGGGCTTCCTCGAGGGCAGTGGTTCTCAACCTGTGGGTCACATCCCTCTGGGTGTTGAAGGATCCTTTCATAGGGGTCAGCTAAGACCATCAGAGAAGACAGATGTTTACATTACGATTCATAACACTAGCAAAATAATAGCTATGGAGGTTACCACACATGAGGAACTGTATTAAAGGGTCTCAGCATTAGGAAGGTTAAGAACCACTGGTCTAAAGTCTGATGTATTCTGGGGGTTTGGCTGTCCTAAGACTCCAAGATGACTGAAAAGGAAGAGTTAAGAACAATGACTTCTCTGTTTCCTCAGCCAAACTGAAGAAGACAGACACAAAATGGAGGCAGTAATATCAGGTTCTCGTTCTACTTTTATGTACCTTGTGGGTCCAGGTGAGGAGCCAATACTTTCTTGCCAAAATAGCTTCTAAGCGCCTGTTTCTATGATTCTGTCATAATGCGCATTTCAGTTGAACCTTCTGAATGTCGAGATTTTTTTCCAGATAGAATTCAGCTCATCGGTACATCCAAGGTTAATTATTCAAGATGCTAATAGCCATTGTCAGCTAGACCAAGGCTCATTTGATGTTAGCCTTCACCACATTTGGGAAAATTGCTCATGCTTTCAAGATGCAAACTTCCTCTCAATCCAGGGTGAAAGATGGACCAAGGATCTCTGCCATTGATCTCACTCAGCAACCAGAACTGCTGAGCTCTGTAATCTTGTCCAGTCTAGTTCCTGCTTTAGAGGAAAAATAATCACATGCCATTGATAATCCTTAAACTACCTCTGTTTGCACTGAGGACATCCTGTCAGGTACACCAACAGATGGGTGCTTACTTAGGCTGTACATAACAAAAACTCAGGACACCAATTGTACCATCTAAAGGCATAGACAACAGCAAAAAACACACGGAGGCTGCAGACATACTCTGCCTTCCCTCCATACTTCACTCCATGGGATACCCAAGGCCGGTTTGGTGTTTTTCAATTAGTTGAGAAGACTATTCAACCTGCCTTTAAGCTTTAAATCCTTATATGTGGGTGGGTAGGTGGTGGTGGAAGAAATATAAAATCCTATTTAGTTCTTTTTCTTTTCCCTCTTCTTCTCTTTCTTTTTCTAATGATTCACTTTTTTAAAATCTGCTTTTCCTTTCCGAAACGGATGGTTGGCCAACAAACTTTTGGAGGGCACTGGAAGATTGGAGGGAACCTCTAAGCCCAAGGTTTTCTAAGGACTCTTAAATACCTGGCAGGGGGCAGAAGACCCTGATAGACTGGAGCTATAGGATTAATTAGCTCAAGCAATGGGGTTTTCGCCTCTGGCTGCCTAAATTCCCCATGCAGAAGGCTGCCCTTTAATTACCACCCTCGGATTTTCATCCAGAGGTTCCCATTGATTTCTAAGAGCTTAAATACTGTTTAAGCTCTTAGAAACAATTGTGTTCTTTAGACCATTTTATCCAAACAGATAAAGAGAGGTGGGGGTGGAAGGTGAGGTGGAGGGTTCTTTCTCAATTAGCGTGCACGCACGCACACACACACACACACACACACACACACACACACACACACACACACAACCACAACAGCAACAAAACAAAATGACTTTCTTGCAACCACAACAAAAATGAGACAACTTTCCTGAACCAAAATAAAATAAAACAAAAGTGGAAGTCTGTGGATAGCCTGGTTACCTGGCAACCCAGCCTATGATTTGCTTCTGTTCACATCCTAATGTCCCCAGCATGGAAGAAGCAATGAGAGGAGATTCCATTTATGTGAAGCCTCTTGACTCTTGTCCATTCATTTATCTCCAGTTATTTGGTTTCCTAGTCAGTGACCCGGACTTCTGTAAGCTGTAAACTTGTGTCTGCAGGGGAAGACAACTTCCACTTTCCTATAACATCTTTACTATAACGTCTCTTTTAATGCATCCATGTTTTGCAACCCCCTTGGGGGAAACTGTGCAAAGAGGAGGGGAGCCAGAAAGAACTGCTCAAGGTACCCTGCAGCCCTTCCCTGTAGCTCCAGGAAATTCACAATTCCATGCATGTATCATCCGGAGTCTCATGGCCTGCAGCTTCACAGGGAATTAATAGTTGGTCACACTGCAAATTCATCTACAATCGATCCAAACTGGCAATTGCCTGGAATAACAGTAACAGAGGCATGATGCTCCAGACCTTTGCTCCAGCTTTTTGAGGCTCCAGCCCCACACCACACACACAGGCAACCCACTCTTCCTATTTTTAGTTCCTTGTATCTCTGGAACTAGAAATTGAACTCTAGGGTATGTTGTTTTTGCTATTGCTACTACTGCTGCTGCCATTTCAAATGTATGGCTTTTAGAAATACCTTGGAGACCATGCAAGAGTTATGCATTTGTTTCCAAACTAGAAACCCTCTTTCTCAATTTAACATGTGGCTCTCTGGAAGGAACGCTAAGGTTTTTCCATGAGCTTTTAGGCTAAAATATCAATAGTTCTTAATTGTGGTTATGTTCAAGCATCACTAGGGTGAATGAAAAGGAAGAAAAAGAAAAAGGAGCATGGCAGGGCCTGGGTTTCAGCACCAAATGAATGAAAGAAAAAAGAAGAAGAAAGAAACAGAAAGGAAAGGACGTGAATGCTCCTAGGTGTGGTGCGGGAGATGGTTTATTACACACATGTGGGAGAGCCTGGCAGCCAGGGTCCTCTTTAACTTGCTAAATAAGCACCTCAGCCATTTGTCCTGGGTTTGAAACCTAGCATAATGAAAATAGGTTTAGCTGTTGTGTGTTGTTAAGAACTAATTCCTCCAGGATCTTGTTCCATTGAATTCATCTGCATTTGCAGTTAGTTGTCAGTAGTGTCTCTGTAACCTCAAACTTCCAGATTGCCAAATCTGAAAGGATCTCCTAGTTGTTTGCTTTTTTGTCAAAGTGATTTGTGATGGATGTATAAATATAGGGAGAAGAGTTAATTCCCTGTGAACTGCACCCACTCAGCAAATCAGATTGAGGAGCACGTATGTATGTATGTATATGTGTGTGTGTGTGTGTGTGTGTGTGTGTGTGTGTGTGTATGATGTTCTACTTATATATCTGTTCTACTTCAAAACAAAAAATTTTGTTTTGCTGCTACCTGCAGCGGCCTGAGCTCTGCTCAGAGACTCTATCCAAGGGAAACTGTCATTCTTGACTATACAGAAAAGAATTCCATGATGAGCCAATATGAAGCAGAATTGGAACTAGTTTTTCTTTTTTAAGAAACTATTTTTCAACACAGAGTTATGTATGGGGATCAATAGAAAGAAAGGTACACAGGGAAATGCTGACACACCCAGGAATGTAGATACCAGTTTATCAAGAGAGCCTTACTAGGCCAGGCGGTGGTGGCAAACGCCTTTAATCCCAGCACTCACGTCTTTAATCCCAGCACTCGGGAGGCAGAGGCAGGTGAATCTCTGTGAGTTCGAGGCCTGCCTGGTCTATATAGAACTAGTTCCAGGGTAGGCTCCAAAGCTACAGAGAAACCCTGTCTCAGAGGGGGGTAAAAAGGTAGAATGAGTTGCACTTGGGTTTAATGCCTTAGCTGTATAGCAGTATCTTCATGCAAGATTTTGGATGCTTCTGGAATTTTGTTGCTCAGAGAATTTTTAAGGGTCAAGCCCCCCCCCACCCAATCTCTTTTCTCTTTCTCAATAAGGGCAATTATAGGTTATTTCTGGAGGTTCCTTGAACTGGATTATAATCTGATATGGTAAAACCAGGGGTAGTGAAGCTTACTGATGTAGTTAAAAGATGCCTTTTCCTTTACGTGGGTATTCTTGTAAGAGTCCTAGAAATTACAAGCTACTGGGAAAGGAGAAAGGCCATATTCAAGGTCATGTGTGCTTACATCACTGGAGGATGTCTAGGGTGTCCCATGATGTGATGTCTGTCTTAGTTCTAATTCCTGTGACAAAACACCACGATGAAGGCAACTTAGAAAAGAATTAGGGACGTGCTTACAGTTCCAGAGTTAGTCTAGCCAGGGAACACGGCAGGCACAGGACTAGAGCTGTAGGCAGAGAGAGAGAGAGAGAGAGAGAGAGAGAGAGAGAGAGAGAAACTGGGTCCGATGTGGGCTTTTGAAACCTCAAACACACCTCCAGTGACAGACCACCTTGTCTTAGTTAGGATTTTTATTGCTGTGAAGAGACACCATGACCATAGCAACTCTTGTAAACTAAGCTATAAAGTAGGCATTTAATTGGGGTGGCTTGCTTACAGTTCAGAGGTTCAGCCCATTATCATCATGATGAGAATCATAATGGCATGCAGACAGATGTGGTGCTGGAGCCAAGAATGTTATATCTTGCAGGCAACAGGAAGTCAGCTGAGACAGTGATCAGTATTCTGATCATTGGAAACCCCAAAGTCCACCCACACAGTTACATGCTTCCTCCAATAAGGTCACACCCACTTCAACAAAGCCACACCTCCTAATAGAGTCACTGCTTATGAAACTGTGAGATTAAGCACATTCAAACTACAACACAACTCCAATAAGAAGGCCACACCTCTCCTAATCCTTTCTGAATAACCACCAACTGGGACTCTGACATTCAAACATATGAGCCCATGGGGGCGGGGTGGGGGGATCATTATCATTCGAACGACCACTGTGTCCAAATTCTTTGCATCTCAAACAGTGAATTAGACAAGACCTAGAGTATTGTCCGCAGCATGAGAGTGGGCTTCAGAAAACATGTTTCTCAGACTTCCTGAGTGCTTCAGGGATGGGGCCACTTTATGAATTTATGTGGAGGAGCTGCTAGCCAGAGACAGGCATGAGATAGCATTTTACCCTGATTGGCAGATGGAATATTACGTAACGCTGGATGATCTGTCTGTGTGTGCATAATGGGAAAGCATATGCACGCCCTGCCATGCACACACATGAGATCGTAAATAGATGTTTTCCCCTGGCAGGTGGCTTCAAGGACAGATTTTTCCTCTGAGACAAGACAAATCTGTTGCACTTGTGCCCAGTACTGATTTAAGTCTCTACTAGGAAGCGAGGTTGACTTCTAAACTCCACATGGATATACAACACACACACTCAAAAAATTAAGCCTAGGTAAGATCTCCACAAGCAAACATCCAAGTTAACCCCCAACCAGCACCCAGCCACACTGTGCTGCCTATCCTGAGACAGGGTCAGTGGTCTTTGCCAGAGAGGTGCCTGCCCCTCCTGGAAACACGCATTGACAAAAGAGAGAGCATGAGACACACTGACGAATCTGTGGAGCCTGCAACCAAGGGTGGGATTCTCTGTCCGTGGAGAGACAGACTCGGCAGTGCAGGTGGATGAGTCGGTGGAAGATGTGTGGTACAGAAGCCTGAAGCTGAGATTCTATACCGATGCCCAGGAATGAATATCCTGCGGAAACATCACCCCTACCACTCTGGGGTGAAACGGGAAAAGTGCAAGGCTGAACTTGCCTCAGTGTCCCCAAATTGACATGGCCAGTAACAAAGAGGCCACCAAGTAACAAAAGTAAACAAAGACAGGCGAGTCTTTCATAACCATTCACAGCCTCAGTCACAGAGAGCCACAAACATGAAAAGACTGATGTCCAAAACACCAGAGAAAGCATTATAATTGGTAGGTATGGAATGGGAGTGGAGCTGCAGAATTCCAGGAGGAAGTGGATTCCCCATGCCACAAAAGTCAGGCTTTTCTCTGTTAGAAGCACACTCACTGAAAATGGCAGAAAACCTCGTCAACTCAAGCAAAGACAGAAGGCCACTGTGAAATGCAACTTAGAATTCACTGGTGCAGTCACCAGGGAATCTACATAAGTGCCTGGAAACCACCGCAGCAGCAAAGCTAGACGGAAGCTCCCCAAGAGTCTGCACACACCTATTCACTGCTGGAGAGCATCATCAAGGTCTATCCAAAAGTGAGATCATCTGGTCTGTTTCATTAGAAACCCAACATAAGGTGAGGCTTGGACGCAAAAGGTCTTTCTGTGCAGATGGCTGGAAAACAGGAGCCGTCAATTTGTGACAGCTGTCCCACACTCGTGGTGGCTAACCTACCTGACCGGAAGCCAGGACATCAGGTAAAGCAATGACTCACTCGGTGATCAGAATGGCTGAAAATCAGTTGCCAAGTGTTTTCCAATTTCACTGGTCAAAGGGTCATTTAAGGCAGACAGAAGGCAAGTGTAATTAACTGCTACCTCTCTGCCAAGCACGGCCACTGCCATTTACAGATTAATTATGCCTCGTCCAGAAGACAGATGTACCCAAAGAGGTGCAGGATGATGTGTGATGGTTTTGTGTCGATATCGGTACACACAGAAGTCTCTCACTAGAAAGACCCCACATTCATTTATCTGTTTCCCCTCAACATTTCCCCGACTTATAGTCATCGTCTGCTAAGAAATCTGCAGAATTATGGGAAAGATGGAATCGCAGGAATTTGGGGCTGCTCCCCTGAGGGAATTAAGAAAGAGGTTCCCTAACAATCATTACCAAGAACAAACAAAAGAGACTCAAACAAATAAACATGACATTGTGGTTTCTTTCTGCCACTGAAAAAAGAAGCTTAGTTGCAGAATTCTGCTTTCTCTGAAAGGAGAAAGAGATAAAAACAATTACATATTAAACAAAATGCAAAAGGAAGTCCCATTTTAAAAAGGGCCTACAGTCTACAAATCGACCCAAATGGGCCCAGAAGTCAAATCCACTTTACAAAAGAGTTCCCTAATCCCAGTTCCCTCTACTGCCCCTCCTCCTGCTGCCCCACCCCACTCCCCATCCACTCCTTTGAGAGAGTAAGGCCTCCCATGGGGAGTCAATAAAGTCTGTCACTTGAGGCAGGACCAAGGCCCTGTATCTAGGTTGAGCATTCCATATGGAATGAACTCTAAACAGCCAGTTCATGTGCTAGGGATAAATACTGGTCCATAGTCAGTGGCCCCACAAACTGCCCAAGCCACACAACTGTCACCCACATTCCGAGAGCCTAGTTCGGTCCTATGCAGGTTCCCCAGCTATCAGTCCAGAGTCAGTGAGCTCCCACTAGTTTAGGCCAACTGTTTCTGTGGGCTTCCTCATCATGATCTTGACTCCTTTGTTCATATTGTGGTTACTCTACTCCCTCTCTAGGACTGGACTCCAAGGAGCTCTCTTTCTTAAGAAATTCACATGGGTGGAATGCCAGTGTCCTACTTTGCTTTTCTATTGCTGTGATAAAACACTGGAAAAATAATGCAACGTGGGGCAGGAAAGGGTTTATTTGGCTTTCACATTATAGTTCATTATTTAGAAAAGCCAAGGCAGGAAGTCAAAGCAGAAGTTTGAAGCAGAAACACTGCTTGCAATGGTCTGTCCTGTTCCTTTAAGAGACAAGCCATGCCTACTCCCTCCCCTGTCTATTGAGACAAGCTGATCTTCAGCTTCCAGCCCAGGTCCCTTCCTTTCTTTCTCTCTAAGAGGTAGCTTCTGTCTCTCCCTACTCCCCTCTCCTCCCCTCCCCACCTCTCTCTGCCTCTCTCTCTCTGCTCTTCCCCCTTCTCCCCTTCCCCTTCCATAACCCATTAAATAAATATCCAACTTCACTCTGCATGGCATGCCTATCCGTCTTACCTGTCATGCAACTTCCTGCCTGGGACCTGGCTGCCTTTGTGGCTTGCCATGGTCTTGGGACCTGCTGCCTGCTACCTGCCACCACTCAGGGACCTGTGGCATGGTTTCATGGCCTGCTGCCTGCTGCTACCACTCAGGGACCGGCAGCATTTTACTTAAACCATTACACTGCCTACTGACTAAACCAGCTACTTTTCTTATGTGGCCCAGACCCACCTGCCCTGGGCTAGCATCACCTACAATGTATATTGCGGGGGATGACTGCCTATATCAATTAGCAACCAATAAAATGCCCCTACAGACCTGCCCACAAGCAAATGAGACAGAAGCAAGCCTCAATTGTGGCTTCCTCTACCCTAGTGGGTCAAGTTGACAACCAAGATCAGCCATCATACCTAAATATGGAAGTACACTTCCTTGTGTGAAGAAACTAACAAATAGAGCTTTTTTAGTTTGGAACTTTTTTCCAACAACTTAAAAAAAATCTCACTATCTTTTATCTTTTTTTATTACTGAACAACAAATACCTAGGCCCATGAACTCATGAAGAGAAAAAAAAATCCATTTAACTTAGTTTAAACTCTGGGGACATGATCGGTTGACACTGCTGATTTGGGACCTGCCATGAGACAAGGTACTATGTCAGCGGTATGTGGTACAGTCTGCTCACCTCATGGCCAGGTGTGGTGTGAAAGAGAAAAGCCTGGGAAGAGATACGACTGCAGGAGGAAATGGACGCTAAGTCTTTACTTGGTCTGTGGGTTGGAAAATTACAGGAAGCACGTTCCCCTTAAGGCTCACATTCCGGACACTTAGAAATCATCCAACAAAACCAGCGATATGATTCCTGTTCATTTGATATCACTATCACAACAAACAGTTACATAATAGTAGCACAACAAGAATACTAACAGTTTGATGCCGCTGTTTCTTTACACCACACCCACACACATAGGGACATAGTTGGACTCAATAGGTCAAATGAGAGAAAGGAAGGGAGGGAGGGAGGAAGGGAGGAGGGAAGGGAGTGGGGGGGAAGAAGACATGAAGTTTGAGGGAGAGTCAATGAGGGGGTCTGGAGGGAGCTGGAGGCAGGAAATATGGATGACTATTATCAAGATACATTGCATCCATGCATGAAATGTTCAAAGACTAAACTTTTAAAAAAGAAACACTGGAAGAACATGTAAGTTCTATGTCTTTTCTACTTCCACCCAGGGCAGAGGTTTTCTCCTCAAGAGAAGCTGAGTTACACATGCTGGAGTCAGTCTGCAGTACCTGTCAAAAGATCAACACCAGGTCCCCAGTCAGAGAGACCGTGCTGCTCTCCCTCCGTGTGGTTTTCATCAGAGAGTGAAGGGCAGTCGGTGCCAGGGAGGAGACTGGCTGAAGAATGGCAGCAGTGCCCAGTCTACCCTCCAGCCTGTAACTGTGAATCCTCTAGGTCAAATGGGCTGCATGGAAGTCATGCAGGCTGAAGCTGTGTGTGCTGCAGGGGACTGACCACCATGCAGTCAGAGAACTGGCGTTACACGCAGAGGATGTGCTCAGGATGGAAGAAATACATTTTTATCTAGGAGGCAAGCATTTGCCCTTTGCTCTAACCACCCAAACTCCAATATACTCAAAGAAAGAAAACTCCCAAGCAACAGTAGGAAGGAAGAGAAACATCAAGTCAGACTCTAGCCATGACATTCCCCTCACAGCAGAAACTCCAGCCACGACAATCCCCTCATGATGTGGGTGCTGTGTACCCAGGCTTCCTGGGGACAAATGTGTATTTTTTTCTATTGGATATGAAATGGATATTTTAAAATATTAAACTGGTGCAAAATTTCATGACCCAAAATTTCACAAAGCAGTGAAATTTGTCCAAATATTCTCAAGGTACAAAATATTTGTCAAAAGTTCATAGTTATAAAAAAAGAAAAATATACATATATACTTAATATTTGCATCAATGACTTGCTTAGTAAAGAATAGCCTCACTTGATATTTTTTCTACATCAAATTATTAAGTTAATTTCTTTATGTGAATGGGAACAGAATTTTATGGCCCAAAATTTTGCAAGGCAATGAATATAGCAGGCTGACAGTGTTGGGTCATTCACTAAATACTTATCAAGTGTTCTTTTGTATCAGGTATTATGCTAGGCATCAGGAGGAACATGAGATAAATTCTTTCCCTATGTTGGTTATTTAACAAGAGAGTCAGACAAAACCAACTAAGGAAACTATACACCATAGCAGATGCCATGCTTCAGAAAAAATCAAAGTATAGGAGGAAGGAAGACTGTATTCATGGAAGCAAATAGCACTCTGTGAAATAAGAATGGTCAGGGAGCCTGATGGTGGTGGTGCATGCCTTTTATCCCAGCACTTGGGAGGCAGAGGCAGGCGAATCTCTGTGAGTTTAAAGCCAGCCTGGTCTATAAGAGCTAGTTCTAGGACAGCAGGACAGGCTCTAAAGCTACAGAGAAACCAGCTTCCCAGACCACAGAATAATCACTCAGAAATTATATTATTTGTAATACTGTTTGGCCAATAGCTTAAGCGTATTTCTGACTAACGCTTATATCTTAAATTAACCCATCTCCATTAATCCATTAATCTGTGCATCACCATGAGGTCATGGCTTGCAGTTCCAGCACAGGAGTCTGTCCCTGGTGGCACAATGGCTTCTCACCAACTCTGCCTTCTTTCTCTTAGCATTCAGTTTAGTTTTCCTGCCTTGTTCTATTCTGCTAAGCCACTGCTGAAGCAGCTATATTCATTAACCAATGAAAGCAAAACATAGACAGAAGGACTTCTCACACCATTTCCCATTTTCTGTTTAAATAAAAAGGAAGGTTTTAACTTTAACATAGTAAAATTACATATAATAAACAGTTATCAAGCAAGAATTATAGTTACAATATTTATATCTATTTTATCTTTTATCATAACTAAGGACAACTATAACTATCTATTCTTAAACCCCATCAAAGACTCCAAAAGCATATAACATTACCTAAGTAAATAGGAAGTGCATTGTAAACAACTTCCAAAACTCTAGAACAGAGACATTTCGCTGCCCAGACAGTCACACAAAGTTCTTCTGTACCGTTGGGGCATCCATCTTCAGCCTACAGGCCCATAGTATCCAAACTTTTCTGCAAAGCAGGAAAGTTCAAAGACAGTTCCATCTATTTTGGCAGTTTGTAAGTCACTTTTTTTTCTGTGTCCTGCAGAATGTCTTTTTATGAAGTAGGAATTCTGAAGGACTGTTTCGCCTTCTTCAGGCAACTTCAGCAGCCTTTTTTCTGTGGGTCCTACATGTCCAGTTCATATAGCATAACATCAAATAGTCCAGACAAGAGCAGTTTCTTGCACAAATGGCTAGCAAACTCCATGAGGAGCCTCTTCAATGCCCATCATTCTCTTGAAGTAGCTGGTGTTGCCAGGAGCAGATAGATGTATCTCACTGTCATAAAAAGTCCTAAATTCTTAAAACATTTTAAATGCCATATTCTGTAGTCTTTGAAATGTTTGAAGAATAACTATCCATCTGAAATATATCTCTGTACAGCTAGAAAATCTAACTAACATTACTACAAGCTTGACTGTTAGAGATGATTATCTATTAACCTATGCTTCTTAATTAAACATTACATTTTAAAAGGAGCTGCACAAACACAATACCTTAATCAAGAACAGAAATATACATATGACAAAATTGACCTAAAATTTGTATCAATAGACCAAGAACCATACCAATGCAAAACTCTATAGCATAACCCCCTTTAAATGTAAACAATTCATATACAATATTTGGGAATTTGGGCATAGTTCTCTCCAAGCTGTTTCCTACTTTTTGTTGGGCAAAGTAATTTTTGGGGGTGTTCATGGGGACTTTTCAGAGGATCTTGGTCCATCAAACCACATCAGTCTGGAATTAATCCACAGGTTCTCATCTTCTGTGAAACAAAAAAAGAACCTCTTTTCCAAAGCAACAAAACCTTAGTCCTATTCTGAAGTCAAGATACCTTTAAAATATATATGCTGGTTTAGCTTAGCAGCCTATACAATGAAATATCTCTCTGTACTTAGATTCTTCATAGTCAAAAATTCAAAGAAAACACAATAATATACATAATCCAGACTCTCTGTGTATATTCCATGTTTACATGGCTTATTCTTCTGTACTATTTTTAATCTATGACTGTACTCTGTCTCATTAAAGATATTGGGTTTTTTTTAAAAACTTACTTCTTTTTATAACTCTCTATACTCTTTTTCTTCTTTCTCCCAAGCCTATGTACATTTATCCAATACCATGACCTATTTACAGGTCTTTTTTATCTGAATCTGTCTTTATTGTGCATCTGTATTTATTTTCTGACCAGAAGTGCTTTTTTGTAATGCTATGTGGGCGTGGCTAGGGCCAACTCCGTGGTTCCGTCTGTTGGCTCTGCCCAGTCCAACATGGCAGAGGCACATGTTCGCTGCCTCTGAGAGCCATGCTCACAGCCCCATTTTCAGGCACACAGCTGCCATTAAGCAAGCTTTAGCACTCTACTCACAAACCCCACTGAAATGCTCCATAGTTGGAGCCCCCCGAAAGAACCAGAGTTCTTTGTGCTGGAGAACCAGGAAGCCATTGGTTTTTCTTTTTTTTAAGGAAACGGTGCAGTTTTTATTGCACCTCCCTTGTGAACAGAGCCTATTTGGAAAAATACTGTTACCAAGAAGCTGTGCTTGGCACATGTTTTTGTGGGTCTAGAACCCCCATTTTTCTTAAAGCTTTCTTAGACTTTAGGTGGACATTCTTGCCCTGTACTGGCATGCCAATCTGTTGGGGGAGGCTGCTTGTTCATTCCCGGCTGCCCAGACCATGAAATAATCATCCAGAAACTATATTATGTGTAATACTAGTTGGTCAATAGCTTAAGTGTATTTCTGGATAACTCTTACATCCTAAACTATCTTCATTAATCTGTGCATCACCTCCAGATCTTGGCCTACCAGCAAAGTCTGTCCCCGGTGGCGACATGGCTTCTCACTGACTCTGCCTGCTTTCTCCCAGTATTCAGTTTAGTTTTCCTGCCTAGCTCTATTCTGTCAAGCCACTGGCCAAAACAGCTTTATTCATTAACCAATAAAAGCAAAACATGGGTAGAAGGACTTCTCACACTAAAAAAGAAAAAAGAAAAAAGAAAAAGAAAAAAAGAATGGCCAGGGAAGGTGGCCAAGAAAGTGATCCTTTGGACAAAGTCACAGAGGAGATGAAAGTACAGAGCAATTCTGCCAGTACACTCGCTGTCACCACCACTAATGCTGCTGCCACTGCAGATGTCACTGCAAGGCCCACGACTTCAACACAGGGAAACCCTCCATTCATCATTGTTCCCTCATCCATTCCTCCTCATGCTCCAGAAAGAGCATCTACATAGCCAAACCAGGGTAATGTGTACCTCTGCCATGGTGTAACATGAGAGGAGCCTGCTTGTTTGGGGGTTTCTTTCCCACCCTGCCCCCCAGCTGTTTAGTCCCAGAGAAAAATCACACTGAAATCTCTGTAAGTTATAAAGCTGATTGGCCCTGTAGGTCAGGCTTCTTACTGGCTAACGCTCATAACCCAGTTTTGAGCATTGATTAACCCATTTTTCTGATCTATGTTAGCCATGTGGCTCAGTACCTTTTTCAGTGGGGCAGCTCACATCCTGCTGCTTCGGTGATCTGGGCAGGAGTAGGAGGAATCATCTTCCTCCTCCCCAGAATTCTCCTGTTCTCCTTGCATCATTTCTACTTCCTGTCTGGTTTTCCTACCTACACCTCCTGCCTGGCCAATCAGCGTTTATTTAAAACATGATTGACAGAATACAGACAATTCTCCCGCACCACTTCCCCCTCTTTTTTTTTTCTTAAAAAAAAAAAAAAACAAAGGAAAATATCCATAGTCCATTTTTGGGAATGTGGGCGTAGTATTCCAGACTACTTCCAGCTGGTTGGGGCTGCTGATAATCTTATGGGCACCTAAAGAAAGTTTAGAGTTATGATAAAGTCCTGACTGAAGTATCCTGTGAGTTTTGATCATCTCAGGCAGCAGTCTTGAACTTGTTCTGGATGAAGAACTCAAACATCTGGGCCATCTATTCCTGTCAGAGATTTTTCAGGTGGCCTCCCTTGGTCAAACTGGATTTTTCTTAACTCAGAATAAATCCAGAGCCTCTCATTTTCTGTGGAAACAAAAGCAAAATCTCTTCTCCAAAGTAACATACCTTTTGACTTCAATTTTGAAGCCAAGGTATTTTCAAAATACCTATCTTGGGTTAATTCTGCAGCATTTATAAGTAAATATCTTTTAGCAGCTGTTGCTCCTTCCTCAGCATTTAAACAATTCAAAGAGAGCATAATAGTATACAGTATCAAGATTCTCTGTGTATTTTCCATCTTTACATGACTTTATTTTAATCTCTATTTCTTTTATTTTTACTTTTAACTTTTGGCTTTTTGAGACAGGTTCTCTGCATATCTTTGTCCTGGAACTCCTTCTGTAGACCAGGCTATTCTTGAACTCCCAGAGATCCGTCTGTCTCTGCCTCCCCAGTGCTGGGATTAAAGGTGTGCACCACCACACCCAACTATTCTCATTCTTTCTTTTTTTATTTCTAAGGACTTTAAACCATTTAGAATTTTTTTTTCTTTGAATCTCTCTTTACTGTATATGTCTCTCTTTCTGACCATGTGGGTCTTTAATTTGCTAAGGAATATGGAGAAGACAACACTCAAAAGCTCCTA